GAGAGTTTGGCTAGACTGCAGTGTGCTTACCCCTCTGATTTTTCAATCATGCTGCAGGTCGAGCCCCCCCCCCCCCCCCCCCCCTTGTAGTGTACAGAACTGAACAGCTGTTTTTGCTGATCCTATTATGATATTTGTGACAGCTGCATTATTTTAATGCATATATTTAACATGGAACCTAAAATATTGTCAAGTCATAATCTCCCAGTGTAAGAAACTGAAAACAGTCAATCAGACAGTCATCTAGTTTTAATACCAAAAATACATCATGTTTTTGGTACTGTATATCTAGGGTTGTATATTTAGTATCTTTGAGATTTGTTTACGCAGTGTAGCCGCAGACCATTTTTGTTTGATTACAACATTTCTATTCTCTTTCTTTCTATAGCACTACCTCCTGACAGTGATGTCCATGGCAGCACAGATCTATGTGCATCCTAGCCTGAAAAATGCTGTTAGTCTGGTGGTAGTGAAGATGGTGATTGTGGAGGATGAGGAGGTGGGACCTGAGCTTTCAAGCAACGGTGGTGTTGCCCTGCGCAACTTCTGCAGGTGGCAACAACTTTTCAACCCAGGCAGTCAGAGGCATCCTGAACACTATGACACTGCCATCCTGTTTACTAGAGGGGTGAGAAACACAAAACAGAGACTTTTTAGAACAAAGGAATCCAATTTAAATGAAAAAAATCAACATTAACTGACATGCTGTAGAAAGAAATTAATGTAAGTAACCCGTGTTCAAACGATCAAATGTGTTTTGGGCTTAAAATTATGGCACAACTGGACATTTATTAGCAGATTTACTTTTAATACTAGAAATATGTAGGTCATTTAATTAATTTTTCCATCAGGAAAGATGGCGACTATTTCTCCCCAACATTTCCAGTCCACACACATTTTACAGCTGTACCGGTAATTACCTTCAGCTTTTGATTAACTCACTTGGCTACCACTTTTCCAAAACAAGACATAATTTCATTGAGTCAATGACAGGGTCATGATCACAATGCTCTGCAGGGAACCCCCTGTCCAATCTTGGAGACAGCAAGCACGAGATTGTAGCTCTGCCAAAAACCAGAGGGTTAGCACAGGATAAAATAGATGTAGGAGAAACAAAAATTTGGCTGGACATCCAGTCGAGAGCAACACAACAGAACGAAGAGAGATCTCAGTCCTGCTGTGGCTAGATGGAGAAACATATGGTTTTTATTTAGCGGAGGAGGTCTGGGTGTCTCTGGTCGTCTCACATGGCTTCCACTGAGACATCTTCCCCAGTCAAGGTTATCCCTGTCTGGACAGGGAAGTGCTGGGCAGGCCCTTTGGTCTACATGTGCTGTGTGGTCCAGCTATCTCACAGTTAATTTTCCCCCTCTTGCTTTTTTTCTAGTACGCAGTCTGCCGTGTATTTGCTTCATTTTACGATGGAAACACTGACAAATATGTTTTGCTGGCAAGAGCCTGCTTGGGGAAAATAGGGCTGTCTGGAACTAATGGAGCGATGTCTGGATATCAGTGTCTCAGATGTGTCCCCCTCTCCTCTACTCTCACTTCTCTTTTTTTGTCTCACATCTCTCTGTCTCATTTGCCCACTTGTCTCTCTCTTTTTTGACCTCAGGATATTTGCGGATATAAGGATTGTGACACTCTGGGTGTAGCTGATATTGGCACTATGTGTGACCCCAAAAGAAGCTGCTCAGTCATAGAGGACAACGGCCTTCAGGCAGCTTTCACTGTGTCACATGAACTCGGTATGTTCACACACATGACCAGACTCCATGTCTGTAGTTTGACATCTCAGCCTTACCGACTGTCTGGACAAGAGCATGTGTTCCAGACTGAGTCATTAATTAATGTAAGCCAGCTGTTTTCAGCAGCTAAAATATACTGGGAACTTTGTGTTACCATTAGGCACGTTGATGGATCACAAATTCTAATCGAATCCATCCATCACATGATATGTCGACTAAATTCAATTTAATCACAATTAATTTCATATCAATATTTAATTGTAAAATTATGAATCACATGTCAATATTTGATGAGAAAAAAGAAGATAAGTCAAAGACCAGTAAATAATCGAATAGACTTACGTAGGCTGTGTGAGGTACAGTTCTTGTACAGTTCTTCTCCATTGAATAAGCACCAAGTTGCAGTAGTAGCTGCAGTGTTGTTGTCTGTTTGATTGGAAATGACACCCTCTAGAAAGGTAAAAAGCACAATGAGCACCAGTGATAAACATCAATGAAAGATATATAGAGCTCAGTCAGCTCATATGGAGGAGCACAGCAATGTGGAAAAATTATTACACTGTACAGGTTCAGTACATCTTTCTATTTTCCTCTCTTCTTTCAGGCCATGTACTCAGCATGCCACATGATGATTCTAAAATCTGTGAGAAGTTGTTTGGGCATCTCAATGGGCATCATATGATGGCTCCTTTCTTCGTTCACCTCAACAAAACTCTTCCCTGGTCCCCATGTAGTGCACTCTACATCACAGAGTTCTTCGACAATGGCCACGGTATGATCCTTCTCTGTCTGTCAGGATGTTATTTTAATCCTTTCCCTTTTTGAAAAGTTACAGTATTTGATTTGCTCCTGTCTTTCTGAGTGTATTTTTTATTAACAGCTGGTTTTCTATCGGTTAACATTAGGTTTTCAGTTTTTGTTTGGTTTTGGCCTTAGAGCATAATGGCGCATATTTCCTAGAGACTCAGAGAAAAAAAATGTCATAACATTCAGTTTTGAGACATTTTGCTAGAATTGTATATCTGTCATTCAAAAGTTAATGGAAACATGGCACAGAGAATCTGCTGTATAATTTTGATCTTAATGTGGGGTGAAAAATCTAGATGCCTGTGTTTTATGAATTTACTTTCTTTCAGTGTTTTGCACGTTTCTTGTTTAAATGCCACTTCTGTCTTAACTTACTCCCTAACCACTAATAATGGGCTGGTGGGACCACACTCTGTAATTTTGCTGAGAGTGTTAAAACTAACAGTCTTTGCAGAGTAAGCTCACTCTCACTCTATCTACTCATGTACAGTATGAATATATACACTACCGTTCAGAAGTTTGGGATCAGTAAGATCCTTCATTTTTGATGTCTCCTGTACTCACCAAGGCTGCATTTATTTAATCAAAATAGAGTGAAAACAGTAACATTGTGAAATATTATTACAGTTTAAAATAACTTTTCTATTTCAATATATTTAAAAATGTAATTTATTCTTGTCTGGTCTGAATGTTCAGCACCCATTACTGTAGTCTTCACCATGACACTCTTTCAGATCAATTTTTCTGGATTGAATAGAAAGTTAAAAAAGAACAGCATTTATTTGAAATAGAAATCTTTCCGTCGAGACTGTCCGTTAGGGATGCCTAATATTAACTATGATTCAAATACAACAGGACAATTCACAATAAAGATGAACTCAGATAAGAAAAAGTGACAGCTCAGGAAATATGGTAGACATATTTTCTCCAGTTGTTGATTTATTTCCGTCGATATCTCAGTCTACACACACTCGTTCCCGCTCTTCCACTGACTCACCTTCAGTGACTCACACATTCCAGGTTTAACAACTGTTTTCCCTCACAGAGACAGTACGTGTAGCCAAGCACATGCCGTCTTTACTGGTTGCACTGTTGCTACAGGTACTGTAGACTATGAACTGATATGGCTTCGAGGCTGTTATTTTCTATTGTTGTTATGCCTGTATCCGTTTCACCAAAAGCCTTTCATTACTAAGCTTTCATAACATTCATTTAGGTGTGTAAAGCTGTATTGAAACCTTTCCAAATTCTTAATACTTAAGATGTTAAGGTGTCCTCAATACTTTAAGCCTAATTAGATTTCACAGTGTCAATCTCAGAAAAACACAAAGGGAGTCAAGAAGTCTGCGTAATTGTTTCAAAGCATTATACTGTCTCCATATCTTTATCCATATGGATAAGACTATGTTTAGGAAGAACATTTCTTACAGTTAAATTATACTTTCTTTTGTTACAGATTCAATTTTTTTTTGTTTTAGAGCGAGCTAACTGAGGCTGCACAATAATAGGTTACATAATGGATATCTCCAGATGGGAGACTATTATGTCTTACGCACATTGGGATGAGAGGAGGTACAGTGAGATTTCTCAGCAATGAAAATAGTACCCTCAAGCTAACGTGCACACCTGTTTTTGACTTGCTGTATGTAAGAGATTGTTTAAGCTGAAGTAAACACTCGGTCAATGGCAACAGGCTTAAGGAAAACACTGCAAACCACCTTATAAGCATAATATCATTTACGTTTATATACATGAATTTGGGAGAAGCTTTTATCCAAAGCAACTTATCTTGTATTAAAGGTACAAATTTTTTCAGTAACTGCTTTCCCTGGGAATCGAACCTGCGAACTAGGGGTTGCACTGTTTAAGCTACAGGAAGACAATCTTCAAGTTGAATTTGAAGCAAATAAGCTAAATAAAACCGTGCATGTGCATTCCTCAGGTGACTGTTTGCTGGATCCACCTGAGAAGAGCATCCCTTTACCTACCGAGCTCCCCGGCCGTATGTTTGGTCTGGACCGGCAGTGCCAGCAAGCTTTCGGGGACGAATATACCCACTGTCCCAATGCCCCTGAAGATCAGGCGTGTGCACAGCTGTGGTGTCGAGAGGAAGGAAAGATACAGTGCACGACCAGGAATGGAAGCCTTCCCTGGGCTGACGGTACTCCATGCGGGGAGGACAGGAGATGTCGTGAGGGTTCATGCATGTCGAGTGCACTGGAGGAGGCGGGAGAAGAGAAGGTATGCATGCCCAGGAGGATGTGTGTATGTGCGTCATCCGGTTTTATCACACTTTTACCTGTCAGCACATATGCATCTAAAACACCCATGTACAGATTTACAGGCGCCACTATTAACAAACATCTGACACTGCAGGTGACGCTTGCGTATGGCCTCTTGTGCATCAACCTACTCTTCCTTTTAAAAATTGTAAACATTTATGCATACTGTCTCAATGATCTCTTCTGTCTCTCTCAGATTATTCAAAACTTTTACGTATTTCCCTTCCTTTGACATTAAAGATGACCAAGATTCACCATAGTGTTTACATGTTTGAAGAAGTCTTAGAGTGTTTAGAGCCAGACTGTTCTTTTTTTTTTACCCTTCAGAAAAAACTCATTCCTCCTCTTGGATTCCAACCAGCTGAGCAGCTTAAAATAATCAATCTACTTTAAATTCAGCTTCTAAATGCCAGAGAGAGAGAGAGAGAGAGAGAGAAAATAAGTTTATATAGAGGGAACCTTTAAAAAGCTCAATTATTTTTGAGCCTTCCATTAAAGATGCATTTGCAATGTATTCAGCAAAGCCTCTTAAAAAGTGTGATTATATTGGGTGTAGTGTGTTGAAAAAAAAAACAAGCTTGTGATCCCAGACGGCCTGGCTGTAAGAAAGCATCCCTCAGCCAACTCATAAAAAACCCTGACAGAAATGCAGTGTGGTATGCTCACATTCCGTCAGCACTACGCTTACTGGAAGTGATGCTTAGGAGCACTTTGCATAGCAAAAGTGACAGTAAAGACATTTATAATGTTACAAAAGATTTCTATTTCAAATAAATGCTATTCTTTTGAATCTTTCCACACAGTTTCCACAAAATGTAAGCTGTTTTCAACAATGATAATAATAAGAAATGTTTCATGATCGGCAAATCAGCATATTGGAATGATTTCTGAAGATCATGTCAAACTAAAGACTGGATTAATGGCTGCTAATAAATTCTGCTTTACCATCACAAGAATAAATTACATTTTCAAGTGTATTGAAAGATAAGTTATTCTAAATTGTAGTAATATTTAGTAATGTTACTGTATTGTTACTTAATTTTTTTTATACAAAGTGCTATATATTACAGTGAAATGTATATCTAACTGCCTCTATTTGTGTTCTAGGTGCCAGTCAATGGTGGCTGGGGAGAGTGGGGCCCTTGGGGGCCGTGTTCACGGACGTGTGGTGGGGGTGTGGAGTTTTCTCACCGCGAGTGCACTGCTCCAGTGCCACAGAACGGGGGCTCGTACTGTGTGGGACAGAGGGTCAAATACCAGTCCTGCAATACTCAGATATGCCCAGAGGACCATGGTAACATTTTATAAATAAACCACCATACACACACTGGGTGGCACAGGTCACATTATTGAGGGCTAGAGAATGAGTGAGGGGAGTGAATGAGGTCAAGAGATCGAAAGACTATGCATTTGTTATAATCACATTATTCTTAGTGGTGCACCAGTGACCATTTTTTAATCCACAGGAAAAAGCTTCAGAGAGGAGCAGTGTGAAAAGTATAACACTGACCGTTATTTGGACATTCAAGGAAACATGAAGCAGTGGATCCCCAAATATTCCGGTGTCTCTCCACGAGACCGCTGCAAACTCGTCTGCCGAGCCAAAGGGAGCAATGAATTCAAAGTTTTTGAAGCTAAGGTGCACATCCGTTGAAAATGTTTTCTAATCTGATCAGCAATAATGACAACATGTGAAATAAATTTTAGTCTCTTCTGTGTATGTGCCTGCTCTAAAGCTTTACTAAGACGTCAGATGATCTCTTTCTTAGACTTTCCTCTTGCCACAGGCCCATTGATATCTTTACACTCCCACTAAACTCTCATGCATGAAATATTTTCCCTGTTGTAAAATGTGAAACCTGAGGACCCTAACCCTACAGTCCAGCTACTTGCTTAAGCTCTTGAGTGCACCTCTGTAACTGATATTTCAGATACAGTTGAAATGTACTTGGTTTTGCGTCATCCGCCCAGAGTTTTTGCTATTCCGCTTTATGTGGAATAGCCATTATGTTAGAACAGAATACACTGGAGCACTTAGGCTGCCACTGCAATAAAAGTGTTTTGTTTATGGTTTTCTGTCTATTCTAATGCTGATGTTTCATATGTGCTGTGCAGGTCGTGGATGGCACCACCTGTGGGCCAGACACCACATCTATCTGTGTTCAGGGCCAGTGCATCAAAGCTGGTTGTGACCAGGTGATGGGCTCCAATGAAAAGCTGGATAAGTGCGGTATCTGCGGAGGTGACGGTACAAACTGTAGGAAAATAAGCAGCTCATTAAACAAAGCTACGTAAGTATAGATTGTATATGTAAGCATTACTAATGCCATTTAAAATGATGGAACAAAGGTGTGAGCTACTGATATAACTGAATCTATCCATAACAATATTATAATGTACAGTATGAAAAATGGATATTCAATGGAGATTACCAGTGGAACAGTGTTATTAAATTATTCTGTTTTTATAGATTGTCTTTAAGTGAGCTAAGGTAGTCTAAATGTAAAAAAGGGTCAATGATCATGTACAAATGAAGTATCCAATATAATATTGATAAATTCAAAAATTCCGAGCTCCAGAAGGGGGTTTTCACAATGATACCATAGAAGAACCATTGTTCTGTGAACCGTTTTTAAAAGAAAGTTTTTTGTCTTAAGGTGTGGTCACAGTAGTAAAATTGCAACGAAATTTTGCAAACAAAAAAAGTCCATTGTCTATAGAGGGTTATGCCCGCTGAGTGGCTGCATTAGTGTTTAGCTTGAATGCAGTGAAAACAAAATGTAGTTTCTACAGAATATATTGAAACAACCAAAATATTCATTTGGGTTCTCGTCACTTTTGACATAATGTCATTTCTGCCTTTAACAAGTTTTAGGGCTGGGTGATATGACGATACATAACAATGATCATCCATATTTGGATCTAGCTATATTGCATTTATAGTGTTGTCTAACAGATCAAGTATGCTACAGTATGTACATGGACCACTGGTTCTCTGAGTCCAACTGCCTTTAATTTAATCAGTTAATATTTTTTTACTCCCGTTTTCACAGTTCTACTAGTGCCAGCCAAGTTGCAAGACGTGTTGCCACTCAGTCTGGCTGAGTGGGCATGTTCTGTCATGAAAGTGACATCAATGCATATACCCTATATTGTCACTAACACAGAAATGTATGAAGCACCCTTCACTCACAAGTCACTTTCAAAACAAGCAAGTTTTTATTGGTCAATGCGACTGCGACAAATTCATGTGACCAACTTGAAAATGAGCAAAACCTGCATGGGAAAGTTTTTCATCCTCACATAAAACTTATGATAGAACAGATTACTATTGGAATAGTAACCTATTCAATAAGAAGGTGTACCACATCTTCAGAGTAAAGAACAATGGAAAATTCTGCAATGGAAAGATTCCATGGATGTTAAAGGTATTTCATGGAACCAGAGATGCTAATAAAGAACCTTTCATTTTAAGAGTGTAATGTCACCCGATAACCAATATTGTACCGATATTCATATGATACATTGTTTGCCTATAATATCTCCACAGTATTGGCTACACTGATATTGTTACCATCCCTGCTGGGGCGACTAATATTGACATAAAACAGCGCAGCCATCGAGGCATCGCACACGACGGTAACTACTTGGCGGTAAAGGCAGGAGACGGAACCTACATCCTGAATGGGAATTTCTCAGTGTCTATGGCAGAGCAGGACATCCCAGTGCCTGGTGCCATGCTTCGCTACAGCGGCTCTTCCACCACCTTGGAGCGCCTCCTCAGCTTTCACAGACTTCGGGAGCCCATCACCATCCAGCTGCTGTCCACCGCTGGGGACACCTCACCCCCTAGAATCAAGTATACTTTCTTTTTGCCGAGGGATGTGCCTTTTAGCAAGCCTGGCACAGAGAGCAGGATTTCGCCACATGTCATTTTGCCCTTTGGGGGAGCTGACTGGGTCCTGGGTGAGTGGTCCGAGTGCTCCAAGAGCTGTGGTGCTGGATGGTCCAGGAGAAGCGTGGAGTGTAGAGATGGGGAGGGATCCTTGTCTTACCTCTGCGATGCCGACCTGAGACCGGCAGACATCCGGCCCTGTGGGGATCTGCCCTGTCCCATGTGGCAAATGGGGCCGTGGTCAGCGTGCTCACGGACTTGTGGAGTCAGACAGCGCCACCGCACTGTAATCTGCATGGACTACACGGGCAAGGTTCTAGAGCATGAGAAGTGCAACCCAGATAAGAGGCCAGAGGTAGTTGTTGCGGAATGTTTTTATCAGGACTGCTAAAGCTGACATTGTGTGCAGTAGTAGAGAATGAGGAGGTGGTAGCATCCGTAGTGACTGAGAAAAAGCTTTAGAAACAAGCTAAGAAGCTCTTGGGGATAGAGCATTAGATTGGAGATCACTTGTCAAGCATAACCAGGACATTTGATATGAGTTATTATCTATATCATGGTTTAGTCTAATTCTCTGTCTTTTAACCACAAAGGTAACCTCCCACGGAGATCTACCTCAGTCAATACAAGCTTCATAATATTCACAGTTGTTTAGAGAGGAGTCCGTTGGAAAACATTTGCACAAACCTGCTGAAATGAGTCCAAATTAAGGTACCTAAAGATGGTCACATAAATGATTAAAGTCAGATCATCCACCTTTCTAGAACTGTCCACAATGAACTGCATTTTAGTATCTTTATACATGCTAGACTAATTGATTTCACACATTTATTTTAATTGCCAGCCTTATGTTTTGTAGCATTGAGTCTGTTTCGTATTAATATCTACTCCTTTTAATACTGGTATCACCCTCAAAGGCTTTCAGATTTTTCATATGGCAACACTGGAGGAAGCAGTATTTGGAAGTACAGTCCTTTACTAGTCTCACAATAGCTGTATGTGAACAACATACACAGATAAGAGCTGTTGGAATAGATACAAATATGCTAACTTTACCTTTAAAATGTTGCCTGGCTATGACTGTTGATTTGGATGAATGATTTTAGTTTGTAATGAAGAATCAAAGTGGAATTGCCTTCTCTCATACACTGTTGGTTTTTCTGTACACGAGGCAACAAGCTATCCCAGTTTGAGAGCAACTAAGTGTGCCTTTAATTAATTAATTTCTCTATTGGCATCCACTGGTGCACATTACTTAAAAGGAATCATTTAATATAACCGATACTGGCATATGTGAGTTTACAGGAGAAAGTAATTTATTGCTAAATGTTCATTTAGAAGTGGATAATTACTGTATATTATTGGACACACATGTGCCCTCAAGATAATGGCAATGATTGCTAAGACACAAAAAGAGAAAATACATTTCCTGTGAAGACACATTGAGATGCATCTTTGCAATCTATATTCTGTTAATTTGTCCTTACTCTTCCAAGCTTTAGTTGACACTGTATAAATGCATTTAAAAATCTATCACCCACACACCCATTATAAGAAAGAAGAGAAAAACTAATCTGAATGTTGTTAATAAATAGTATTTTATTTAATAGGACAACTATAGGCAAACAGTTCTAACGCAGCAGTTCTGAGCAGACATGGCTGATATTTCTGAGATTTTCCCTTTAGCCGTACGATCACTGATATTTGTTGCAAGAGCCGTTTCACATATGGCAAAATTACATTTAATTTGATACTTGCAAACCTTCTTTGCCTGTAATGTAATGTAATTGAACAGAACCTGTAAAAAATTAATAAATACGAGAGAAAAGATTTGCATTCCATTTGAGTCAAAAGTATGCAAGTTTTGAAATGGTGCATATTTGAAACTAAAGCATTCTATCCCTTCAGTGAAGGTCTGCACAATGCTATTGTTATAGCTTCCTTTTACAAGCTATTTATTTTTCTACCTTCAACACCTAATGTTTTTTTTTCTCGATGCTGCTGTCTGTCTTATACATGATTGATGTATTAAATCAATTAAATGTGTCTACAATAATAAAATTCTTCTCGATTCATTTGTAAGGCCTCCATGTGAACACATTGTTAACCAATAGCTACATTGTTACCTTGAGTGTACAAATGAATTCATAAAACATTTTATCAATGAACAGCTGTGCATACAGAACAAATGCATGAAAAGTTGTATGTCCAGACTAACAAAATACTGGGAACTAAGATGAAACCTAAGGGTGCCAATTAAAACTCCCGAGAATATGCTAATGTAGTTAAATAAGGAGTCTGTGTTAGAGAGTTCTGTGCATGTCTGCTTCTTCCAGTAGATTTTGTGATGAGGAAGGTAAGTTTCCTACATTCAATCAAATATTTTTTCTTTTTTTTTTTTTACTTTTTTTTTAAGAATACATTAGTAACTACCCTATCACATGTAAAGCTATTTCATAACCTCAAAAATGGCAAAGACAACACTTGACAAAAGAGCTTTCTAAAACCAGTAACCTTTAACTATGCAGTCTGAAACAAAGCTCTTTAATACCTTATAAATGGTCTACAAAAATGAAAACCGTGCTTTTATTTTGTGCTATTGCGTCATCACAGCGCTTTTGAAGTCATCAGTAAAAATGAAAATCAGTCGCACGAGCCCCGTGAAAAGCATTCTGGGATACAATATGTAAACATCAGCCTCAAACCTGTCAGACAAGATCCCAATGCATTTTATACATAATGAAATTTTGAACAGACTTATTTTTTATGATTTTGCTATTTAATACAAACGGGGGCACTCGACTTCGTGATTTATCGGGATGTGACGATGCTGTCAAGAAGCGACAGTACTTCTGTGCAAGTGTCAGAATGCTAGCGGCTAGTTAGCTCGCTGCTGGATCACATTCATGCGCTTATAGTTGTCTTACATTTCAACGGATTCGTCCATTCTTTGTTACCGGTGAGCTCCACAGATATACATCCAACGCAAGTAATGTTTCGTACACTGTGTTAACACTGAGGACACTTTTAGCCGTCGTCAGAGATTAACGAGCTAGCCAATGAATGCAGCAGGTTAGCTGGACGTTGTTTTCGGAGTCTGAAAACCGTAATGCATCTTCATTTTCTTGAGTATATTTTTATGCACGAGATTCTGATAATGTCACATTGTTAATTCGCATTGGGCTTTCATATATTAATCGTGACCTAACTCTCTAGGTTACACATCCAGGCCACATCCAACCTGTCAAAATACGCAGTTTTTGGTGATTCAGAAATTCAAGTGTGCATCAGATGCATCAATCTAAAGCTTCGAATCGGGAGTTGGATATAAACAAGTGAGAATTATACTGGTACGGCTATTACTGGGAATAAATGTTTGCTATTTGATACATAAACAAAAGCAACTCGTGTGGAAAGCCACGCCCCTCTAACTTTCTCTAAGAGAGAATTTGACAGCCATCAATACGATGCCATTGTCACTTCTTGTAACTATTAATGGATGGGTGATGTCTGTAATTAAGTTTTTATTTTATTTTATATTTTTTTGCTATTGGTATGGCATTTATGATACGTTCCCCCTAAACGTCCCTTTCTAAAATATTTGTGGGTAATTCAGGATAAATCTTCAATCGTTATATATTTTGAACCTGTCATCTTCATATTCGTTTTGGAAGCCTTTTAAAGGAATAGTTAACTCAAGAAAAGAAAAAAAAAATCGTATTCACCTTAGTGTTTTTCCAAACCGCTTTCATCTAATAATGATGATGATATGATGAAAAATTGTCAAATTTTCATCCTTCCTAAATTATAACAGTTAGTAGTTGATTTATACTATATTATACTACTATATTTAAATATCCGGGTTGTAATGTATATTTTCTATGTAAGCCCATTTTCATCACATAAAGAAAAATAACTTTTGTAAATCATAATTCTGACAAAAAGTCAAAATGATGACATACTAATTTATAATTAAGACATAAGTCATAGTTATGACATGTTGATAGTTGATATTTTGAATCTGATATTTTTGTCATAATGATGTCGTAAGTTTGCCTTTTATGTCAATTTTGCTTTTTTTGTGGCAGAGATGGGCTTTTATAGCTTTCTTTGTTCACAGTACTTTTTTGCTCATTTTTTAGAATAATGTTGGTGTGGGCTATAAACCTTTAAAACAAACTAATTTAATTTATTTACTGTTAATAAGTTACTAAGTTAACTCTAATATCCTTAAACGATGCATTTTATAAACATTTTCACAAAAAAATGTGCAGTGGCAAAAGGATTTATGGCTTTTTTTATAGCTCTACGCGTTCATTTGTCCCAAAATTGTTGTAAAGTCTCTGTCACTGTGGAATGCATCTTGCTGTTCTAGGAATTTAAAGTATTATCTTTCTAAGAATTAAATGATTGCTTACTTCATCTCCACTGCAGTTGCAAACGTTTAACAGCATGAGTCAATGATCCCTTTCTCTCTAAACCCAGCCGGACTCATTTGGACATCCATATAGTTTAGACATATCTGCCATCCCTCTGTTAGCTTGTCAGCTGGATCCAAGCAATGCAATACCAGTTTTCGGCAGATGTTATTTGAGGGAGTTTATTTGGGCTTGGAAATGTGACAAAATCAGGATTCCTCAGCTCTGAATCATTCTAAGTATGTGCTTGTGCTTTGTGTCATAAGGACCACTGGAACTGAAAAGTGCTGAAGGTGTAAAGCCGCGTCTTCTGTCTGTATAAGTAGCTTTGCTAGATCAGCAGTGAGGAGAAATTTTCCTTGCCAGTGACATAAGTGAGATGGATGAACTATTACTTGGGAGGAAAACATAAAAAATGTACAATTTGAAAAAGTCATTTTTTGCAGGTACTTTTTTATTATTAAATTATTAAATTAAAAATTTTAACGTAGACTATGTGCAAGACATTTGGAGTTCTCATGTTTTTGCAATACTAATGTTTAACAATTAATCGATTGTTAAAGGGATAGTTCACCCAAAAATCATAATTTACTCACCCTCATGTTGTACCAAACCTGCATGACTTTCTTTATTCTACAAAAAATAAAAGAAAATGTTTTGAGAACAACATTCCTCAAAATATCTATTTTATGTTTCACAGAAGAAAGAAAGTCATACAGGTTTAACACTTTATGAAATTATGTCGAGTTAATGTTGACAGAATTTAAATTTTTGCGTGAACTATCCCTTTAATTTGAATGATTATGAATATTCCTGCAAACTTACATACCTACTTCAAATATTCAGTTACAGATTGTGTCATGTTTAGAACTACAACGGAACAAAAAGCTGTTGTAGCTCAATGGTATCCAACCATGTGAACATAACTTGCTTTTATTAGCCATTTTGTTGCACTAAAGTATCTTATTCTTTCCAGGCAGTCCAGACTCCTCTTCCTGCTGTGAAGGATGGGTGTGAAAACCTTCACTCACAACTCCCCCAACCACAGCCAAGAGCTTTTAGATAAGCTCAACACCCTACGCAGTGAGGGCCACTTTTGTGACGTCACCATCCGTGTACAAGGCCAGATGTTCTCGGCCCACAAGGTAGTGCTAGCCTGCTGTAGTGACTTCCTTCGAGCAAAGCTGTCTGGGAAGCCGGCTGAAGAAGACACTGTAATAGTAGGTGAAGATAACAAACATGTGCTGGATCTCCAACACGTGACGGTCGCAGGTTTCGCTCCTCTTCTGGAATATGCGTACACGTCCACCCTGTCCATTAGTACGGAGAATATCATCGACGTACTGGCAGCTGCTAGCTACATGCAGATGTTTGCGGTGGCCAACACTTGCTCTGAGTTCATGAAGTCCAGTATCCTGTGGAACTCTGCATCCTCAGCAGCAGGAGGTCCTGGTAGCACCCAGCCTCCAGTTTTACACAGACCCCAAGAGACCCCTGAAGGTCATGCGAGCTGCACCCTCGCCCCTGTAGATGCCCTCTCGCCGTCTCCGGTCTCATCTGAATGCAGCGTACCGGAGCGGCCCATTCCTGTGTGCCGCGTGTCTAGACGCAAGCGCAAAGGCTTTGCGAGCCCGCAACCAGCATCCTCAACCTCTCCCCAAGTCCCCAACCCTTCTCCCTCCTCTTCCTCCTTCCCAGAGAGTTCAGCGCAGGCTCTGGAACCATCTCTGACCTTCTCCTGGACATACCCCTTTGGTGTGGACCGGCGGTTTGCGGCAGAAAAGTCAAAACTACCTGAAGGCCTCCTGGAACCATCTGGAGCACCGGGTCAGGATTCTAGTGGACGGGCGTTGGTGGAGTATTTGGCCTGCGAGGGCCCACATGGCCTGGGCGTAGGGGGCGCAGCAGGGGTGGAGGAGGAGGAAGAAGAAGATGTGCAAGTGAAGGTGGAAAGACTGAGTGATGAAGAAGTGCATGAAGAAGCTTCGCAACCAGTCAGTGCTCCACATAGTTCTCTGAGTGACCAGCAGACGGTTCCTGGCAATGAACACACCCAAGAAGATCTACTCATCAGCCCTCAGTCCTCATCCATTGGTAAGACTCTTTACTCTACCTAATAGTGATACCCTATTTCAATATTTTGGTTATTTTGTAAAATATCATGTGGTGTGACACTCGAAAAAGTAATGAAATGTATTAATTAATAATTCATGATGTTTGTAAAGAAAAAAAATTAATACTTGTATTTAGCAAGAATGCATTAAATTGATCAAAGTGACAGTAATTAAATTTATAATGTTACAAAATACTGTTAGAAAAATAAATTATTCTTTTTAACTTTCTATTCATCTAATAATCCTGAAAATAGCAGTTACTGTGAATTAATAATAATTGTTATTATTTTAATAACATTAATAATATTTGTGATAAGCTTTGCCATCAAATATGAGATAATAGAAAACCAATATTGTATTATTTCACCATATTAGTTTTACTGTATTTTTGGTCATATTAATGCAGCCTTGGTGAGCAAGAGTCGTCTTTCAAAAACACTCTTACTAGCCCCAAAAATTTCAATAGCAGTGTATATTTCACAACACTTTTTGGAAGTATGATGTGTTTTCATTCATATGAAGAAAAAAGAATAATTCTTGATAGTTGCACATTACATTTAAGTCATTAAATTGAAACCTTCCTGAAAGTTCTTCCAAACCATAAGAAATCAACATGAATACAAAGAGTACATTTATAAGAACTTGGAAAAATGTTTTAGAAATCAAGTTTAGAACACATGTGACATTTCTTTATTGTAAGCACTTTCATATGTCATTGACCCACGTGTTTAGTGAGTCAGTAGATTATCAAAGTCATAATTGCTGTTAACATTTCACTGGATCAACCTTATGTTTACTTAACTTTTAAATGTCATATTTACCTCATATTTATCACACTGTTACTCTCTGATTATTTCATGCACTTATGAGAACGTTTGTCTGAGGCTGTATCTGTTTAAAATAAAAGTAGATGACAAAATATTAAGATTTTACTGGAACAGAGGTTCAGAAACGACCTTCTGCTCTCTCTTCAGGCTCCCTGGATGAGGGGGTGACAGAGGGTCTCCAATCCATGCAGGGCACTCCAAACACTACTGGTCACATGGAGGAGGATGAGAGGTAAGACCCCTTTGGTGTCTGTGTTGTTTTTACAGAGTATCCTTTTACGACGTCTCAATTTTATGATTGAACTAAAGGGCCCCTCTGAGGAAGGGCCATAATATTTTAGTCTTCTCATCATCGTCTTTCCTCATGTATACTTACTTATTAAGCAGAAGAGGCTTCTGTGATATTGTAATGGCTATTCAGATGGGGATTTCTTGCCAAGAGGCCAGAGAAGCTAGTTGGCAGACTTTCTGGAAACTTCTTGGACCTGAATTTGCCTTTTGGAATACTGGAAGAATAGGGAAATGGTATGATGCAAAACAAATGGGATAAAAAAGACACTGCTTTCCTTCTTAGCAGTGAAGTCTGCTTTTATATGACAACTTGATATACCTGACTAAATGTGTTATATGTTAGCCTTAAACCTTTGTGGGCTGATCTCTGTGGATACTCAATAGGCTATTTGACGACTAGTGTGACACATTCCCACCCAAATTTACATTTATTCATTTAAAGTGGTCATGAAATAGAAAATCAAAATATCCTATATATTTACACATATAAGGGGTTACAATAAAACAATACTAATAAAAAAGTACTGCATGTTTCATCCCAGTCGTGACATGGTTTTTCTCTAAATGTCGTAACACACTAAACAAGGAAGTCTGCCGAGCAGTCATGAGAGCAATACTGTTGTCTATAGGACTGTCTTCAAAAACTCTGCCCTTCTTTCTTTTTTGGACCACAAAAATAATAATTAAAAAAAATGTCCTATTTGTGCTTTTCCATATACTGAAAGTATATGGCAATCAACATCAAGCTTTTAAAAAAGAAAGTATCACAGAGTGGTCACATGCGACACATGATGTATATACCATGTTTTCTGCGGGTATATGATAGGGTTTGGTAAGAAACAGACTGAAATTAAACATTATTTAAGAAATATCCTGACTTTGCGTCTGTGATAACTCGCAACAACAAGTTATTCAACTCGGTTATTCAAGTTATTCAACTACACAGATACTTTTTGAGGGGGTTTCTAGACGTTGTTTTTCCGTGTCCCATTTTTTTATTTCTTACATAATGTTAAAGGAGTCATATGATGCGATTTCAAGTTTTCCTTTCTCTTTGGAGTGTTACAAGCTGTTCGTGAATAGATAAGATCCCTAAATTTGCAAAGACTAAAGTCTCAAACCCAAAGAGATATTCTTTATAAAAGTTAAGACTGGTCCACGCCCTCCTAAAACGCCTCTTTCAAACACACCCCCACATGTCTACATCACTATGTGGGAAGAGTTGCATAACGCCACCCAAATGTTCACGCAAAGAAAGAAGACGTAACTTTATTGTTGCTGCCACCGGCGCCGTCATGTTGTGAAGATGCTGTGTTTCGTTGCGAAAGCAAAACTACTTTGTTTGGCCTTCCAAAAGAGGACACGACTAGAAATCAGTGGTTAAGTTGTATTTACAACACTGTTCCAGATCAGTTCAACCAAAATATTCAGATGTGTGCAGTGCATTTTACAGAGGACTGTTTCCTGATCCTGGTAGAGTAGACTACAATGCCGGCTGTTCTGACTCACAGACTGTAAGTACGTTTTTATATTTAAAGAATTTGCCACTGACGATTCAAACGCGAGTTTTGAGCAGTGTAGAGTAGCACTTGTTGTTTGTCATTTCTCCGATCACAAATGCAGACATGGTTTTATGTTTACGCGGCGTGATGCAACGTGTAAAAAGACAGTAAAAGTCATTATAATCCGTAATTATGTCCCCACTGGATGCTACAAATGCCTCGTTTATAATGGGTTTTATTGGTTTTGTCTCGTCGCGCCGGGACACAGCATCACGGTATGGTAAGGGGCGTAACATTTCCGTCACACGCTTGAGGTATTCAGCCAATCACAACGCACTGGATAGGAGGCCAATCAGAGCACACCTCGCTTTTCAGAACGATGAGCTTTGTACAAATAGAGGAAAAAACAATAATGTACAGTATGTGGAAAATAATGTTTTTTGAACCTTAAACCGCATAAACACATTTCATTACACCAAATACACAAAATAATGTTCTTTTAAGCAACATCATATGACCCCTTTAAACTTAAGTTTGTTTCTAACCAAACCGTATCGTATACCCACAGAACACTTGGAATATTCGGCACATGTCTCATGTGACCACTCTGTGATACTTCTGTCTTTTTTAAAAGCTTGATGTTGATCACCATATACTGACATTAGATGGAAAAGCATGCGCAGGACTTTTTTTTTTTTATCTCCTTTTGTGGTCTGAAAAAGAAAGAAGGGCATACGCATTAGAACAACACAAGGGTGAGTAATTGATTCATTAATTTTCATTTTTGAGTAAACTATCCCTTTAATGACTACTAAAACTCTGTGTGCAGTTGGCTCATCTAATGTAGTCTCTTATCCTGTCACTCTTTCTCCAGGCTGGAGAATGTCCAGTACCCATACCACCTGTACATTAGCCCTTCCACTCGCCCAGGACTCAACAGTCCTGAACGGCCTTTCCAGTGCCCTACATGTGGCGTCCGCTTCACTCGAATACAGAATCTCAAGCAGCACATGCTCATCCACTCTGGTGAGAGAACCTCTGCTATTACTGGACTTGACATTGACAGGGGCAATGCATGTGAAAAGAAAGATAACTTTTTTACGTTTTGCTTTTTTAAAGGGGACTCTTAGGTCTGGGTAATAAACAATATCATATTGAGTCTGCAATAAAATAGATTTTTATAATGATAAGCTCTGGACATTTTAAGCCTATGGATTAATCTAACAGTCTGTCACACTGCAGAAATAAACAACAGCAAATCAGTGCATGCACTGATATCACAGATTTTATCATCTGCCATCGTAGATCATCAGTATCATACATACAACCAAGGTATTTTTTAATCTATGTTTCAATTAATGGTGAATGAATATCGTGATAAATATTGATGTCGTATGAAAGAATAGTTTTGGCCATATCGTCCAGCCTTACTGAAGAGTAAAAACACTACATGACCTAATAAAATTATAGTGACTATAATATAGTGTTTGCAGTCCTTTGTGGATAACGTCTGTCTATGAGCATTTTGCTAATACTTCAGCTACTTAAACTTTATTGTTGAGTCAAAATGTTTTAGGATAGCTGACTTGAGCTTTCACACTAGAACATGGGAAAGCTTAATATCGGGCCCTGTATTACATAAACGTCTTGTTTGGAGAAGAAGACAACATGATTCACCCTAATCTCTTTGTTAGTTCATACAGAGATGGCGTTTTGTTTGCTGTTGAATGTCCAAACAGAACTCCTCATTACAGCGATTAGAAATGGACTGGTGAAAGCGATTGTATGCAATTGGTTTAGATGTGCGTTAAATGAACAACATACCTAACTTGACATACATTGCTAGATTGAACCTTCACAATAAACATTATTTGCATGAGCAGAATGATGTGTTTGGTTATTTTGTTATTTCTCAGCAGCAGGTGTAGCTCAGTTAGCACACAGCCTACTAAAACAAAGACACATTCTTGTGTCTCATTCAACTTCAGTATTTGATAATTATGTCCTGTTTTCTGATATAGGAGACTATAATTTTTTGTACATCTTTCTTCTATAGGTATTAAGCCATTCCAGTGTGACCGCTGCGGGAAAAAGTTTACGCGGGCTTACTCTCTGAAGATGCACCGGCTGAAGCACGAAGGTAAACGCTGTTTCCGGTGCCAGATCTGTAGCGCCACTTTCACTTCCTTCGGTGAATATAAGCATCACATGAGGGTGTCTCGCCACATCATCCGCAAGCCTCGGATTTACGAGTGCAAAACGTGCGGCGCCATGTTTACCAACTCCGGCAATTTAATCGTACACCTGAGGAGTCTCAACCATGAGGCGTCAGAACTAGCAAACTACTTCCAGACCAGGTGAGGAAGAGCTGAACATTCTAAGAAAATATAGTACAAATTTAGTTTTGTACGGTCGGCCATTCATCCCATGTTGAGGTAGCAGATGCGTTTTTTTGAATTGGGGGTAGAAATTATTTAACTGTATTGAAGAATGTGTATTAGGTAAAATTATAACACTTCACAATAAGGTTAAATTCGTTAACAATAGTTTACGCATTAGGTGTCATGACCTATCAATGAACAGTACTTTTACAGCACTGTTAATAATGATTAATGTTTAACTTACAAATAAATAATGCTCACCAAGTCTAAATTAATTTGATCAAAAACACAGTAAAATAGTAATATTGTGAAACATTATTACAATTTAAAAGAACTGTTTTCTATTTTAACATATTTGAAAATGAATCTATTCCTGTGATGGCGAAGCTGAATTTTCAGCAGCCATTACGTCAGTCTTCAGTGTCACATGATCCTTTAGAAATCATTTTTATTCTGATTTGGTGCTCAGGTAACATTTCTTATTGTCAAAATTGAAAAAACAAGTTGTGCTGCTTAATATTTTTGTGGAAACTGTGATGCATTTTTCCCCAGTATTCTTTGATGAATAGAACGTTCAATTTATTAGTCATAAGACATTTTAACAACTTAAAAGTCTTTCATGTCACTTTTATGCATGCTTGCTGCATACACATATTAATTCTTTGGCAAAATCTTACTGACCGCAAACTTTTGAACAGTAGTGTACATTTTTTACATTTCAATTAATATAAAGTAATTAATGTAATATGAACATACATTAATTACCAATGAACAATAGTTTATAATTATTATAAATAATTTATAAATTAACATTAACCTAGATTAATCAGTTCTGGAATGATTGTTAGTTCATGATACCTAATGCATAAACTAATGTCAACCGATTGAACCTTTTTGCAGAGTATTCCTGGTAAAACATTGTGTATTTTCAAAGAGAGATGTAGGTGATAGGTTTTTCTCGTTGAGATGTGATTGGCAAAATGCATCCATCAGATGAAATGTCTTTCCTGCTTAGTTTTAACAGGTTTAACGCAATCCAGGGTAACACCCAGTTGCATTGTACTGCATTTGGCAGAACGTTACTCGATGAATAGAGCTTTCAGGAAATCACTGAAATCTCCTCTATTGACTGTCTCGATTAGTATTATGAAAAGTACAATGTTTATTTGTTTCTGACTAGCTTTAACACATGGGCATACACACCCTTCAGATTTCCTTTTATTCTATTCTTAAACTGGCACGTGTATCCTCCTAAATGTGTTCTCCAGAGAAAACCACCTAAGCGACTTTCATTTGAAAACAAGCATTTTCTAAATGGAATAATCATGGCTTTGATTCCATTTTGGAAGTAGCGAGAGTTGGACTGTGTATTAGGAAAAGAGGCACTGAGATGTAAACATTTGGAGCGAGCAGGGAAATCAATCCTACGTCAGCTAATTACTGCTGAATAGGTTTTTAAAATGAAGTTCTCAAAAAAGCTCAGTGGAATCATTGTCTGTATTTCAGAGGAGACTCTTCTGAGGTAACCTTCATGAAGGTAACCCTTCATTAAAGCAGAGGGAAGGGAGTCAGGTGCTTTTATGCATTGAGTTCCTGCTACACGTAGACTCCCTTACTTCATCCAACCGTTTATTTGATTTAAGCCCTCTCTCTTAGGATCTGTGTTCTATTCATCTTTGTCAGGCACAAATAAACAGTGTCTATGCAACTTACAGTGCTGAGGCAATAGTTTGACTCTGGCATGTGCTTATTAAGAGAGGGAGTAGTCGTGTAGTGTATCCCGATAAAGTTTTATGTGTTGTGATTGCAAGAAACAGCCAACATTACGGCCATAGTTTTCAAAGTGCTTTACTTTCAGGGAGTTAATTTCTAAGTAAAATTTTAAGAGGTGCAAAAATGCACAAATTGGAAAGTGCTAACTGGGTTAATTAGATCTCACATTTTTTTTAAATATATTTTTAATTATTGTTTGTAATAAAAAATGAATGCCTGTCAAAGTTTTGCTTTGTGCAAGAGTGCAACGACTTGCTGTGAAAAAAATAGGAAATTATGTCATTAGTATCTAAGTCCTATTCATGGATTAAACCATCAGTGTTTGAACTGTGATTGCTTGCTATATCACTTTTTCTGCCAAGCCACAATCCTCAATCTAGTTTTTAATTTTGACTTTCGTTTAGATAGCTGCAGTGTTTTGCCAGAGGACATTTTGCCAAAATGTATTGTTAGACTTGAACATGCTTGGACTGGCTGTCCGTAAAAAAAAAAAAATCTAAAGAATCTTAGACTCATATACCAAGCTTGAAACACAATCTTGGATGAATCATAAAAACTAATTTTTTGACAGATAACTTTGTTTTGATCTTGCGTCTGAGTGGTTTGACATCCTCAGATTGTGGCTTCAGGAGACTGAAAGCAATAACTTTTATTTCAACCTACTTTTGTGTTTTAGTCCCATTAAGTATTTTTCATGAAAATGTTTGAGCTTATAGTGCTTAGAAACCAATGAAGGTACTATGATTCTAAAAGACTGTTGTAAAGATCATTAAACTTGTCGGTTTTACCTTAAGTTGAGTTTATGCCTTTCTGAACATTGGCCCTTCTTTCCCTTTTTTGCCCTAGTGAGTTCATCCTCCCAGACTACCTGAGTCACATGCAAGAGGAAGAGGGGCTGGGACACTTTGAGATGAGTGAGCAGACCTTTGAAGCTTCTTCCTCCTCTTCCTCGGTCCAAACACCAGTTATCTCTCAAGTTTCCTCTACCATGAACTATGACAACCACACTTCTGCACCTCCTTCCCAAACCCCAAACCCCAGGTCAAGGAAGGGAGGGGAGGCCGCACAAGGGGACCACCCGAAGTCCACCGCTGCTGTTACCTCTCTGCAAGACCCAGAGGAAGACGAGGGAGAGATGGAGAGAGGTGGAAGAAAGAAGAAGAGACTAGTGTCAATTACAATTGAGTAAAAACGTTCCATAAGTGTAAACATGTATAAAAACAGTCAGTGTCCTGTTGCACATTCAATACTTCTGTTGTCGACGGTTTATTATACTCTCAGAAAAAAATGTACCAAAGCTGCCATTGGGGTGGTACCATTGAAAAAGGTACACCTTTGTACCTTATTTATCTGTAAAGAGCGCATATTGGTATCTTAAAAGTATTAGTACCTAAAATGTATATTTTAGTACCTTCTGAAAGGGTACCACCCCAGTGACAACTTTTGTTCTTTTGTTCTGAGAGTGTATGTTTTAACAGCTTATAAACTTGGTGTAACGCCTTTTAATTTGTGTAGGTTACTTTAAATTGTTGTAAAATCACATTTGATATGGATTTACATACAAATCTATCTGAAAGAGTGATCATGGTTCTAAATTTAAAAAAGAAAAAAAAAACATGAAATAAAAAGTGACTTTTTATTAGTAACCCATTAATATCTGTGACTATAATGAATTTGTTCCATGGAAGCACATTTTTTTAAATTTAATTATATTTTTATTCATAATAATATAGAATTTTTTAACCGCTTTGCGGCGGTCTGTCAAAAAGAATCAAATTGTATACCTTTTTTTGCATTATGTCCAGCTATGACTGATTTTTCTTTTTATTATGCGACTTCCTTTTCTCCCATTTCATGTCTGCACCCTAACTATCGCAAACTGCCCCTTCCGACTATAAACAAACCTGTTACAAACTGGGAAGCTTCAATCCTCTGAGGACCGTTCCAAAAAATGTGAAAGACTGTGTTACTACTTCCATGTGTGTTCAGAGTGGAAACAAAACAACCTCGAAACCCTGACAATGGGTGGTTGTGCATTGACTGACTAATCTAATGTTCTTTAGTGTGTTGTTTTGAATGCGTGTATATGTGAAGAGTAGCCCTGTTTTCCTAGCCCTCTTTTCTGCTGTATGTGTAATGCTGCTAAATTTTGTAAACTGTGCCTCTTGCCCAGCTCTCCGAACCAATTCGATCTAAAGAGCTGTATGTGAATTCTTTGGGTTTAACATTCTTCTTTTGATTGTGACATATGGAAGAATTGTCAAATGGGTCAAGTTTTAATAGAGTGGAAGGAAGGTGATATTTCCATAGCCTTTCCCATTTTATTGCTGTTCGAATTATACTATGGAATTTTATCCAAAGCTTGATGCCATAGTTGTATGTGCCTAATATTCTCCCAAACAAAGTTTATGAACACCTTGTGACTATGGCATGAGCCTTGATCGAAGATGTAACTTGATTGCGACTTTGGAATATGTAGCATTTGTTTTGTTCGGTAGTCGTAACGATCGCGTATCTTCGCTTCCTTCGTGTGATATTGCACCTGGCAATCAGTCAGTCTCGAAGCTGCTCCATTCCAATATGATTTTGTAGGAAACAAAAAGTTTTAAGCATTGTGCAATATTGTTTTGGATGATTCATGTGGTCCAAAATTAAAACCTTTTATACTGCAGTGGACAATGAGCTAAATAACTGAAGATAATGAAATACAGGAAGGGGGCTAGTCGAGGGAGAAGGCTAAAGCATGTGCCCTTCGATAAACCATTCATATGAATTGTTAGTGTACAAACAGTGAAAGAAATCACATTGTGTTACAAAAACTAGGTCGCAATATCTTTCTCTGATGTCATTTCCTTTGAGACGGTCTCCCGCTTATCTCACTCTCTCCATTTTTGCGACCGCCTGCTGTAGCTCAAACTCAATTACTTCATAGTCTGAGAGTTTGTAGTGACGCATTTATCCATAAGACAATATTGGCTGTCTGTCCCAGATTGCTCTTTGTGCTACTTGCATGTTTTCCGTGCAAAAAGAAATATGGGGGGGGGGGGTCAATATAGCATGGGTTGATTTGTTTGTTGGATGTTGTTTCAGATATGTGCAACTACCATTTTGTACACAATATTCAATCTTTGGTGTTCAGTTGTTTGAGCAGAAAGAAAACGTGACATTTCAGTAGTCATAATGCTTTTTTCCAAATTCTGTATCAATGACAGTTACCTTAAAAAGTGTCAATTTGTACATTTGTAATATCAATGTGAGTGTGTAGTTATTTAACTTGAGCCTCGTAGTGTTCGCTTTTGTGACCATGTCTTATTGATATATATATATACTCTATATTCTTTTTTTTAAAGCCTATAGTTTTAGTCGTATCTTGTGCCTTTGGATATTGGATCTGTATTGTATTTTTATTGGCATAAACATGCATTGATATGAATTCATAATGTTTTGTAGACAGAATGCTGGTAGACTTCAAATGTAGCTTGAAACTAAAAATATTTTTGAAGTGCTATTCGACACATGGTTTAAACTGTATGTTTTGTGTTTATTTTCATAAAGACAAATGTATTAGTCGTTTTGTATCTCTTTAGTGGTTCTTATCATCCGTTTCTGTGCCAATTCAGATTTATTGAATGATGTTTTGTAAAAACATTACGTACATTAAGATTTGCAGTAAATGGTTACAGCCTAACACTCCAAGTCTGCTTAAATTCATTGCTTCCATTCTTATTGCTAAATACTCATTCTGGTTTATGTATTTGCCATACAATATTCCAAAATATATATACACTAATGTTCAATTTTTTTTAAAGAAATTAATACTCTTACTCTTTTTAAACCATCTATTACTTAATCAACCCTGAAAAGAAATGTATCAAGGCTTTCCAAAAAGATATTAATAATAATATTCTATATTGATAATAGGATATTTTATTTCTAAAGGTGACACTGAAGACTGGAGTAACAGCTTTGCCATCACAGGATTACGCTTTAAAATATTAATTCTATATTTGATTAAATATATATTAAAATAGAACAGTTACTTCAGTTTGTAATTATATTACATTGCTGTTTTACTCGTTCATTCTCGTGAGTATTTACATCCCTCCGCAAGCGCACGTGAGCTCAGCTTTACAGAAACTCGCTGATCTGATCACAGAGACAGGACAACAACACCCGGACTCTGTTTTAATCATTCTCGGGGACTTTAATAAAGCAAATCTTTCCCGTGAACTGCCAAAATACAGACAGCATGTTACATGTCCCACCAGAGACAGTAATATACTGGACCATTGTTACTCCACAATAAAGGATGCATATCGCTCAGTCCCCAGAGCAGCTGTAGGACTCTCTGACCACTACCTGGTTCATCTTATACCGATTTACAGGCATAAACTTAAATCTGCTAAATCTGTAGTAAAGTCTGTAAAGAGATGGACCAACGAAAACACCTGTACATACAATTTATTCTTTTTTTGTGGTTTATATTTATGCATGTGTATTTTATTCACATCTCATTTTTATTATCTGTGTGTTGTTGTTGTCTCCATGTACTGGAAGCTTGTGACACTATAACAAATTCCTTGTATGTGCAAACATACTTGGCTATAAAGCTCTTTCTGATTGTGGTTTCTGATTCTGATTTTACTCAATTATGGCAGCCTCGTGAGCATTAGAGACTAAAAATTCAAAAATCTTACCAAATCTGCAGTGTATGTGTGCATATGACTTTTATGTATGACTTTTGAACTGCAGTGTGTGTGCATATACTATCATACACTAGGTAAATAAAGTTCAGAATAAATCTGGGGCCCCATTTAAAAAAAAAAAACATATTTGATCTTAGAGTGTGCGTATGCTAAAATCCATGTCAACGTTCAGATTTATAAAAACTCCATTCTCAAGTCAACGATTTGGATGTTGACTGGTGCTCTTTTATGTAATAATGATATTAATTTGGGGGCATTTACAATGCAGAGATTTAAAACTTTTTACAAATGAGGCCCTAGGTTCCTCTATACAGGTATGTGTATGTATATGACCATGTTCATAAACTGCTGAAAAGTTTTTGCACTGCATATAACATCTCACTTGACATTTTGTGTGAATATACCAGGGGTTTCAGAAAAAACTCTGGTGTGTGAAAGGACGGTAATAAGGAAATTCTTGACAAACAGGTGCACAAACACATGCTAAAAGAAACAATGAGAGGCTTTTAATTTTGCCTTGGCATTCTAGATGAAGTTTTTGTGACATGTCACAGTATTTGCAGAGTCCAAGCACCTGCTTATGATTTGGTGTCCTCCGGCTGCGTGACCCACATCAACCATGGAAGGGTGGTTAAAGAAAGCCCTAAAAGTGGGTCAAGTCAGATAACGTTCACAAAATGAAGGGTTTTGATTCATCGTGACTGAACTACTATCTTAAAATGTCAAAAACTGGTCCAGAATCTATTTTATAATAATGTCCGTGACATTGATAATGACCACTTTTAGTTTTCCACTGCTGTTGGCCACATCAGTGCTTCAGGCAACATGACCTAGTATCGCTTTAATTTACTGTGAAAGATATCAATGGTTCTACCGGGCATAAATCTAAGGGCACGTCTTGTGCCAAACCTTTTTGCCTTCTACACCTGCAAACATTAGTCAAATGGAGTTATATAACAACCACCTTTTGTCTAGCTTTTATCTATTTTGTGGTGCTGGATTAGATTTCTTCAATATGGCCCCACAACCCTTTTTATTCCATACCAAAGCATATCAATACTGAATACAGACTACTATGCTTCTGTGTAAACTTTGTTCAAGTTTTGAAAAGGAGCATAAAATGTATAATTTCATTGCCTACAATTCGATTTTCAATGTCCTTACATTCTAATGACTTCACATATGTTTTCCTGTGTTCTTGAACTTGAGTTACACATGGCATTTCTGTATAAACCCAATCTTGCATTATACATGGCAGCTACTCTTCAAATTGCTTTCCTTAATGGACCTAAGCGCTGTGGGTTGGATAAAAAAATACAAGACATGTTTATTATGATTTATTTTAAGCAGAACTAGTTGAGTCCTAAAGTGATTTCAGACATTTTACTCATTTCCGGCACTTTGGTCATTTCAACAACACTACTTCCAAAATCCTGCATAAGCAAGGGGCCATTCCTGATCGGCTGAAAAACCACAGGCTGCTACTCAACAAAATGACTCTTTTTTTTGCTGCTGTCTTGTAATTTCTCAAGATGATCATCTGCCAGGTAGGGACATTTTATAAGTGGTATTTTAAAAAAAACAGCTTACAGCACCTTTATGTCTTCATCGCTAATGACATTTCAAATGTGTTTAGAGTAAAGAGGACTGAAAAGAATTTGCTCCACGCTGGTCAGTCTTCACAAGGAGAGCTCCACCGTCACCACTGTTATGTAATGGTCAAACCGAAGAGAGTAATTGGAAAGTGTTTCAATATGGTTCTTGTTCCAGTGATTGCTATTTCAAATAATTTTTTTATAAACTCCTTGATCAATTCACTTCTCTTCTTTGCCAACGCCTCTTAGTCAAGTAGAAAGGTTCCAGCAATGGTGAAATCATATTTATCAAACAGGATTCCAAAAAAAACAAAATAGATATATGCGAAATGTTCTCCAGATGCAGAGGTTGTCTAA